CGCTTTCAGCACGTATCCGCTTCCTCATTTTTTTAAAAAATTGCGCTTTCACATACCCGATTTTGATTCCATGCAACATAGATCACAACTACTAAATGGAAAAGGGGTTCCTTATGTAACAGTTTAGAAGCTAGATTATTATGATATCATAGACAATTTGAGAAGAGGAAATTAAATCTCTCCTAAACATCTTAGGTTCGGACTAAACAGTTACTAAACAAAATTTCATTKACTCGAACACGAGAAGAGAGTAAAATAGAGTGAGACAAACTTGTTTTTTTACTCACACATGTACCAAACAAAACCATTCCCATGCCTGATATTTTCAAATACCAAGTACACGATTTTTTGTTCTTTGACTAAAGAAAATCCATAGAAATAGTGGAAAATCCAAAAACAACAGAGGAAATCTTTGCAAATTCAACCTTCTTTATTTTCCCAATCTTCTCAAATGTTTCCTTTTTCTCTTTCGAAAACCAATTCGAAATCTTGTATAACCTTTGATCAAATTGAGAAGAGGAGATTAATCTTTACTAAACCTATTATCAGATTGAACTATTACTAAACAAAAATTCATCAACTCAAACATTATAAGAATAAAATAGAGTGCGACCAAAATTGTTTTTTTCCATGCACTTATGTAGCAAACGAAACCATACCCGTACCTAATATTTTCAAAAATACAAGTAAACGGTTCTTTGTTGTTTGACTATTTAAAACATTTTTATCAACCATTTTAAACTACACACAACCAAGTGGTTGACAAAAACCCAGTTACTTAAATTCAAAATTATGAACGATTTAGATTTTTGTTCTAATATCTAAGTACAACTTTTCATTTCAGTTTTGAAAAACCACGACTCTTGGAACTTGGCTTAAGGTCCCATGTCTATGTTTGGCAATCTATCAATTATATTCTATATACGTCATTGCTTTTATCTACATGTAGAATTCTTCTTTTTTTGGAATATGAACTTAAAGAAATAACATATGAAGATGGAGAACTTACTTTTCAGGCTCARTTTTCTCCTCCATCTCAAAATCATTCAATAATGCCAACTCAGTATCAAATTCTCCACTTTGACCACCTTCTTGCATGCGTAAGCATCTCCTCTCACAATTTTACCTTATAGCTATAAACTTCCATTTATATATAATTGTGTTATGCATCGAAAAAATAGTACCGCTTCCATAAGTGAAATTTGTCTGTTTATTTATAAAATGACTAACAACGTTACAACGATATATTACATTATCATATTTTCCGGAACGGATCAAAACAACACTTTGAGAGCCTAATTAGTCAATCAATCAAATATGAGAAATAAGAAAAAAACTTTGAGCCTGAGGAATCAAAATCACAAACACAACGTTTAGAATCGTGAGGGTTAAGTTGGAAGAAATAAAAACAATAAATKCACCAGAGAGAATTTCAAAGGCTCCAACAATTGACGTAGATACAAAAATAAAATACAAAATTAACAGTAAAGTGAAATAATGTTTGAAGATGATTAAGAACCTGCGTTTTTTTTTACATTAGTCAACAAGAGAAAAATGAGATTACGGAGAGATGATGGAGAAATTCATTAGACAACGGAGAGATGAATGACACGGTGYTGAGAGAAAAGGWGTTYTCACAGCCAGTGAAGAGTGTCGCTGAAACCAGTCGCAATCATTGCTGGAATTTGCAGCGACAAAAATGATGTCCATTAACAGTCGCTGCATCACCGGTGGCATCACATACTTGCGTTACAAGAAACCTAAATACGAAGCATTCTTGTGTTAGCCGACGCTGGTCGCAGCGATTCCGAAAAGAATAGGGCCAAACTATAATGAATTTTTGTTAGTCAAAATCAACACACATCAATCATTATGAGGAATAGGAGAGAAACGGATGAAGATATCTAAACCAGGAGTTGCAAATTTGGAACGGAGAGATAAGGCTATTCGATGTAAGAAGAACTGCTTTGCAAACGGATGCGTCTGTTAATAGCATATCAGAACAATCAATAACCACAAAGAAGAAACATATAAGAAACAAATCTCCACAAAGAAAAAGAACGGAACCCTTTAGTAATTGTTGGAAGAGAATAAAAGAACAAAACGAAATCTGAAAAACTTCTCTTATTCTRGACAAGTTTACATGACTACAATTGACACACTTATATAGATGTAAAATAGACAKAAGTGAAGAGTTGTGTCTTTTACCSCTTGTGACTTTTAAACTAAATAACTACCTTTCTTCTTTGACAAGTTACAACTTTTGCATACTCCCTCACGTACATGTATTATGTTATAATACATATAAACTAACACTCCCCCTTAATTGAGTTTCCGTCTCACATTAAGATGCTTTAGTTATCCTTAGTCTTTGGTTTCTTTACTATACCAAACCTTCTTCTTCTCGATCATTCAGCTACTTCATCTATGGCTTCTCTCCATTCTCCAATTTCAGAGGCTTTACCGTATGAGCTGAATCTTTTCACTCCACCATTTGTGAGGTCTTCWCTCCTCGTCTTCTTCAAATGTCACCATTTTTGACATCTTCTTCTTAGCCTATGTGTTTTCATTGTTTTGCAATTGACACRTTGTCAATTCTTTCTTCTTCAGACATTGGAACTCTTGGGTTTTCTCTTACCTATGAGCCTTCTCCATGTCTCCATCAGGTCTCTCATGGACTTTCCTCACGTCTCCTTGACGTATCTTCTTCGGTTATCTTTMTAACCGGTTCCCATTTCAGACATTGGAACTCTTTGGGTTTTCTCTTAKCCGCGAGCTTTCTCCATGTCTCCTTGAAAGTCTCTCGTGGACTTTCGTCACGTCTCCTTGACGTCTTAAGTGTGAATCTTCTCCACGTCTTCTTCGGTTATCACTATAACCGATTCCCGCTCCCTTTTCCTCTTAGTAAGCAGCCTCTTTCCTTGCTTGGTGTCTTCCTTTGATCACCAG